AATTTTTGGCTATAATCCCAGAATTCCCAGACGACGTTCAGACTTCGCGGAATTTCTAAAGCAATTTGCAAGGGATGTCAAAACTTGCCGCAACAGAATGCTAGCCATTGAAAGAGACGTTGCGCAAAACGGCCGCATAGAATTTTAAGCAGAAAACCAAAAACTCACTTGAAAGCATTCAACTATCGTCCGAAAAACTTACTTGTAGTTGTTGTTCGGCCAGTGGTTTTTGCTCATTCAGCTCCAGCAAGTCTTTTTCGCAACATTCCAATTCCGCTTTTTTGCCATCTAAAGATTTCTTCGTTGAGTCATGCTGTGCCACCTTCTGACCAAATGCTGCACGACGTTCTTTCAATTCGTTCAACTAAAAAAAAGGCCTGTCCACAAATCTATTATTTCAAAGATGATTATACGAAGTTAACAAAACCCAGTAGCATAATGCAACAGAAGAGAACTCCGGCTCTTTTTACTTGACGTTAAGCTCGATTTGTTGTTAAAGTAAGAATAAAAGTACAAAAAATCAAGCTGAGAATGAAAAATCAGAGATAAGCGAAATTAAAAAAAAAAGTTTCGGAAGTTGCAGTTTCTCCGCACAAAATTTAGCCCGTTTGTACCGATTTTTCATCTCGAAACCTACAAAAGCTACAGGGCTGAAACTTCGGGAACTTAATTCACATGCATGTACGGGCCCCCAATCACAAAATGGGCGCTCTTACCCATGTGGCTCCCACGTTGGGCCCGTAAAGCTCGCAGCATTATAACCAACTACGGGATGTTTGACTGCGCTAAAAAATGAACAGCCTGGCTCGTAAACAAAGATAGTTCCCAAATAAGAACATTACATTTTGCAAGGGCACAAAAACAGGGATGTTAAGGGATGAAACACAGACTACATCGTAAAATGCCCTCCGGCACATGACACTTAAGACCAATCCTTCTATTCTACTATTTCTACCTCATCCGTATCATTCGGCAGTGAACCTAAACCATTTCGCTTTTCCTGAAAATCACTGGACCGCTCATAAGCGGGGGGCATCTTTGTGAAATTTCAACATTCCAAAATACTTTTGACGTGTTCACATCTCAGAAGTAAAAACCAAATGTGAGCGGTTATTTTGCGTCCAGGGACTTATCCACGGTGGCAGACCGCTGTCAAAAATTCAGTTTCACAGATTTTGTAGTTTCGAAGTTAAAGTTAACGGACATGCGAAATGACCGTATGCGGACCGCTGGGAAATATGACTTGGAATTGGTTTTGCACTTCAAAAACACATAAAAATAACTGTCACGAAGTAACTGGTTTAAAAACGCATAAAAATAACTGCTATAGTGGTAGACTAGGCACCGAAATGTACGGAAACACATCACACATTCCTCCAATAATATGCATTTTTGCACTGCACAGATGCAAAAAATAATATCAAATGGAAATACCCTTTCAACAATTCTGTTTCTTTCTGAAGCAGCCAGCTGGGCTTTATCAAGTTCGGCTACCAAATCCTTGAAGCGTTCCTGCAAAAATATTAGTTTCAATTTAGCAATATATATAAATGAAGTGAAACTTGTGCAAGCTGTAAAGCTTATAGTTAAGTGAAAAATCAGCTGGGTCTCACATAATTACTTCTAATTCGTAAAAAAGCTACTTACTTCGTTACGCGATAATTCGGCACTCAGATCATCCCAACGCTGCCTGAGACTTTCATCGACATCACCCACTTGTGTTTTGAGGAAGTTCACTTGACGTTCCGCATCCGAATATGAT